GAAAAAAATCAGACATAAAACTTACTTACTTCTAGTCATTCTTCATTTACTCTTCAACAGAAAAAACAACGCATTGAAGTGCAAAACAGTTAGGTAACCTTGAAAACGTGAACATTTTAAACTCCTCTCTAGCTTCATCGTCAGAGCTTTCATTCGAGTGTTTTATAAATATTAATTCAAAAACATATTTGAAAATCAAAATACACAATGTAAATTCATCCAATATGTTAGAGAAAACAAGCAATCCCTTCAAAATGGTAATGTTAAATTTTTAGCTCACCTTAGCTTTCCCTGAGCTGAAAGCTCAAGTGAAATTTTTCTGATCACCTGTTGTCCGTCTGTCCGTTTTTGAGGTATTTCAATTATTTAGGTTCATGCAAATATATTTGTGTCTATATTGATTTGGTGGTCCATGCATGTCATACTTACACGTCTCTGCAGTAATTTTAGGCACATAGAGTTTATTCGGGTGGTTTACTGTACACGTCATGCGCAGAAATTACTCCCCTTACGAACTACTATTCCCAGTCGAAGTTAGCCATTACAAATAGTACTACTTCATTTTTTGAAGAAAAAAAAGTAGTTTTCGGAAATTATTTGCTTTGGTTGCTGATATGTGGCCACAAATTATCGGACTACTGGGCGCTCACCCTTTTATGATACTCTGCTCTGGTAGAAGATCTGGATTCTGCCTCTACTTTCTGTAGAGGAAGTTGAGAGAAAAGTTGGCAAATGCGGAAACTTTAGGTTACTTCGATACTGAAGCGAAAAACACAACTTGTTACAGATGCCAGTACTGTTGGTCTTGGAACTGTCTTGCTACAAATTCAGAATGAAAAAAAAAAGTATTATCTTCTATGCAAGAAGTAGTCTTACAGATGTTGAGAAACGTTACTCTCAAACAAAAAAGGAAGCGCTTGGCATAATATGGGTAGTGAACGTTTTCATATGTACCTCTATGGGAATGACTGAACTTCTTGCAGATCATAAGCCTTTGGAATACATTTATCCAGCAAAGTATAAACCAAGTCCAAGGATCAGTAAATGGGTGTTGCGTCTACAGCCATATCGATTTTAGGTTGTGTATATCAAATGAAAGGACAATGTAGCAGATCCGTTATCACGATTGACAAAAATAAATGAGAGGAAAGTCAAACAGATGGATACTGAGGATTTTGTGAAATCTATATCTCTACATTCTGTTTCAAAAGCAATGTCTATCAAGCAGAAGGAAAGTTTCTGTTTGTTTGTTTGTTGTTTATCTGATTTTGGCCTGAAACGTCAGGATGAAGTCATTATATCAAGAGTACGTATTGGACACTCAAGGTTTACTCAATCGCATTTACTAACCAGGGAACACCAACCTGAATGTATATCTTGCGACTGTGCAATGACTATACATCATATACTTTTAGAATGTACTGATTTTTCGCCTGTAAGAAGCAGACTATTTAATAATGTGCAAATAATGCCTGATCTTTTTACAAATATTAATACTTAAACAATTTTACATTACTTGAAGGAAACCCGATTTTAACGTTAAGATTTCAATTTATATATTTTAATTAAAAATTTGTTTTATATTACAAATTTAACTGTTTTCATATTTTTTAAATTATATCCTTCGGATGGGACGTTAAATGGATTACAAGGATTACAACCCCCTTGGCACGCATAAGATCGTTTCTCTGGTTTTCGCAAAAAGAGTAAAAGAGCTTTGGTGTTTCCAGGGATGCCAATGTGACTTCGAATAAAAAACAAAAGTCTACTACTTTACCTTGATGAGCAAAATGATAATATTGAATTAATATATCTATAATGTATGGTTGTATGTTCATATTTTTTATCGATTGTAAGCGAGAGCGAGTCCGAGTATATTGTGAATTTGTAATCAGTGGAAGATTTAATATATTCAAAAGCAAGCAGAGTGGCTTTTGCTTCTGCTGTAAAAATAGTTGCTCCATAAGGAAGCCGTGTAGAAAAACAAGAGGCCCAAGGGCCACATTGCTCACCTGAGCACTGTGGCTAGGAAAAAAGGAAAAATCAGTTTAGTATTGAAAAGCTTAAATGCATAAGTGGTCCCAACCTACCCCTAAAAAGGGAATGGGGGGGGGGGGGGTCATGATTTGAACAAACTTGAATCTTCACTATCTGAGGATGCTTCCATATAAATATAGATGCTTCCAAATAAATATGACCAATCATAGCTTTGCTGTTCTTGAGAAGATGATTTTTGAAGACTTTTTATATGTACACCTATGTTAAACATTGATCGTCCATTTTGGCCCCACCCTATCCCTTGGGGTCATGATTTGAACAAACTTGAATCTACACCACCTGAGGATGCTTCCATATAAATATGACCAATCATAGCTTTGCTGTTCTTGAGAAGAAGATTTTTCCTATATATCCCTATGTAAAACTTTGATTGTCCATTGTGGCCCCACCCTACCCCCGGGGGTCATGATTTGTACAAACTTGAATCTACACCACCTGAGGATGCTTCCAAATAAGTATGACCAATCATAGCTTTGCTGTTCTTGAGAAGAAGATTTTTGAAGATTTTTCCTATGCACACCTATGTTAAACATTGATCGTCCATTTTGGCCCTACCCTACCCCTGGGGGTCATGATTTGAACAAATTGAATCTACACCACCTGAGGATGCTTCCATATAAATATGACCAATCATAGCTTTGCTGTTCTTGAGAAGAAGATTTTTGAAGATTTTTCCTGTATATTCCTATGTAAAAATTTGATCGTCCAATGTGGTCCCACCCTACCCCCAGGGGTCATGATTTGTACAAACTTGAATCTACACCACCTGAGGATGCTTCCATATAAATATGACCAATCATAGCTTTGCTGTTCTTGAGAAGATGATTTTTGAAGATTTTTCCTATGTACACCTATGTTAAACATTGATCGTCCATTTTGGCCCCACCCTATCCCTGGGGGTCATGATTTGAACAAACTTGAATCTACACCACCTGAGGATGCTTTCATATAAATATGACCAATCATAGCTTTGCTGTTCTTGAGAAGAAGATTTTTAAAGACTTTTCCTATATATTCCTATGTAAAACTTTGATCGTCCATTGTGGCCCCACCCTACCCCTGGGGGTCATGATTTGAACAAATTGAATCTACACCACCTGAGGATGCTTCCATATAAATATGACCAATCATAGCTTTGCTGTTCTTGAGAAGAAGATTTTTGAAGATTTTTCCTGTATATTCCTATGTAAAAATTTGATCGTCCAATGTGGTCCCACCCTACCCCCAGGGGTCATGATTTGTACAAACTTGAATCTACACCACCTGAGGATGCTTCCATATAAATATGACCAATCATAGCTTTGCTGTTCTTGAGGAGATGATTTTTGAAGATTTTTCCTATATATTCCTATGTAAAACTTTGATCGTCCATTGTGGCCCCACCCTATCCCCGGGGGTCATGATTTGAACAAACTTGAATCTACACTACCTGACAATTATTCCACATGAGTTTCATCTTTCCTGGCCCACTGGTTCTTGAGAAGAAGATTTTTCAATAATGCCATTAATTTTTTGCTATTTCGTAATTATCTCCCCTTGGAGGAGGGTGTGGCCCTTCATTTGAACAAACTTGAAACCCCTTCACCCAAGGATACTTTGTGCCAAGTTTGATTGAAATTGGCCCAGCAGTTCTGGAGAAGAAGATGAAAATGTGAAAAGTTTACGACAACAACGACGCCGACGACGCCGCCGCCGACGACAGACAACGGACAAATTTTGATCAGAAAAGCTCACTTGAGCCTTCGGCTCAGGTGAGCTAAAAAACACTTTTGTCAATCACTGCAGCTGCTGCCACTTTGTTTTTATCTTTTGAACCATCTGTATAAATATCGACTGAAAAATTCTTAGAATGTTTTATTTCTGTTAAAAACAAGATGATTTGTCTCTGATTTCTGAAATTCAGTTAAAGATGTATCTACACTTGGTTTTATTAATTTCCATAGTGGTATTTCGGAATAGTTAATGGGTTTAATTATATCTAAAGGTATTCAGAATCTCTTACGTGTTTTTAGATCTTAGTCCTAAATGTTTTATACACGAGGAACTAGAATCAATACTGCCTGAAACTCTACGTAACACTTCTTTAAAAATCGCTCATGAGGGACACCCAGGAATAGTAGTAATAAAAAAAAAACATTTGCGAACAAAAGTAAAGTGATCTAGAATGGATCGCGATGCTGAAGAGATGTGTAAGAGATGTCATGCGTGAAAAGTGGTGAGTAAGACATCCAGTCCAGAGCCTGTTAGAGTACTGAACTTTGAAAAGGACCATTGCAGTTACTTGGTGCAGATTTATTGGGACCTCTACCATCAGGAGATTTGTAGTGGTGGATTATTACAGTAGTTGTAAGTTGATATCTTGACAAAGACCACAACCGAAAAAATTATGAAAAGTCTTCACAAGATGTTTGAAACACATGGTTTACCATTACAGATTGTAACCGATAACGGTCCTCAATTCATCAGAATGGAATTCAAAGACTTCATGGAACATCATAATGGGCGGACTTCATTTGTCCAAGATCGGCGTAAAACCGACGAATTGGCAAATCAAATAAACCGGCGTAAAACGTGTAAAAACAAAGATGGAGGAACCCGTTGTTGTTACAACTGCTGTGGCAAAAGTTACAGATGTAATGTTGAGCGATGATGAAGATGATGATATCGAAACATCTTTTTTGAGAAATATGGGCTATCAACAGGGTGAGAGTTTTGATATATCAGTGAAAGTTTATCTATAGAAACATATACCTATCGAATGTAAACAATGGAGGAAATTCGAGTCGTAAAGGACTTTTTATGTTTGATTTTGATTATCATAATTATTTCTGTGTTTTCTTATCAGATAATGGCTTTATTTGTGCACATATGGGGTCATATACTAAATGTGTGAATCTAGTATGCACATTTTTTCTTCATTTTAGATTTAGAGAAGAAGGATAAAATCTCTAGAGTATTTTGAATACACAATTCCGAGATACCTGCCGGATTCATTTAGGCAGTCCTTTAAAGTGTCCCATGAGACGTTTGAAGTACTTTGTGAATCATTATCTCAGTATCCAGGTGTATTGCCAGAGGCATATCCCAGAGGAAGAGCCCACATACCATTGCAAAAAAATGTATTGATGACTGTCAGATACCTAGTTTCTCAAGAAAGTGTACAATAATTAAGTGATAGGTTTGGTGTAACTGAACACAGTTTTATAAGATGCAAAAGACAAATAATGTGTGATCAGCGTCTATGCAAATTTATTACATGGCCAAAGCATGATGAATTCAGAGATATATCTACAAGATTTGATAAGATGGAAAGATATAACTTTCCAGATATACTTGGAGCAGTAGATGGGAGCCACATTCCAATTCAGGTTCCTATTCAAAATCCCAAATGTTATTTTAATCGGAAACAATTTCATTCTATTGTACTTCAAGGTGTTTGTATAGATGATCTGAAATTTATTGATGTGAATGTAGGATGGCCAGGTCGAGTCCATGACGCTAAGGTCCTACGAAACTCATCATTATGGAAAGAAGGATTTCATAACTGTGACAATGGGAGCTACCACTTAGTTGGAGATGGAGCATACCCATTAAAAGAATGGCTTCTGACTCCATACAGGGATAATGGCCATCTCTCACAAGAACAGACACAGTTTAACATGACACTCTCATCAAAGCGACAAGTCATTGAGAGAGCATTCGGTTTGCTGAAAGGAAGATTCAGGCGACTAAAGCTATATGAAATCAATCAGAGAGGTTTGTCAGACTTGTTGCTCCATGTATTTTGCACAACGTATGTATCATTGAACATGACCTGTTGGAGGACTTAATAAATGAAAATGAACATGATGTTATTCTGGAAGAAAATGATAGAAATGCATTGTTAAAGAATGATGCACGCGGTCTACAAAAGAGAATTAATATTACAAATAGAATGTAATTTGGATTTGGATGTGCATCATGTACAATTTTGAGTAAAATTCAAAAGAATTATCTTTTTTGCTAGCTTATTGAGTAAAATTCATTTTTTTTGGTGAAAATTGGTCTTTTTTTCTTCAGACAGAACAAGAACTGTACTATAGCCCCCCCCCCCCCCTTTCAATCGGAACTCTTAAATTTGTGCATACTATATAGCAGTTGACATGGAAATTTTTATAATACAAAGATTTTATTTACTTACGGGAAAATAAACTCTTTGTTATATAAGTTAACTATTGCATCATTTATATTTATATATTTAAATTTATTTCTAAAATAAACACACAGTTACTATAGACTTAACATTTATTCCGGAAATAAATAACAAAACATTTATTCAGGAAAAAATAATAAAAGAATACACTGTAACAAAAGATAAATCGCAAATGCAACCCTGACATGTCTGCTATTGTGTCATCAAAATGTAATGAGAGATATGTTGACAGTACATGAATGTCCACCCAAAGTACATCGTATTGCAAGATGAAAAATACATGCCAAAGGGAAAGGTAAAAAATAATTCCACAGTTTAACTCTCACCAATAAAATCATGTAACTTTGTATAAATTTCGGTAAATATATGCAGAATATCATTACAACTTACTCTGAAACTGTGTAAGGGACAGAAAGGTGGAAGGACATAAGACAGACATGACAGGTGGGGTATAAAATTGGCAAACACAACCACTTAATGAACAAATTCGAAAGTTATAAAACACTATCTGTGTTAGCAAATTTACATGGCACAATCTGTCAATTATCTTTTTCAGGTTCTATTTCTTGAGCAAGTCTTTCAAAACCCCGACCAGGGAATTAATAGTTGATTTTCTCCTTATGTCTCCTCTCAATTGCTTCTTCTTTCTTTTCAATAGCTTCTGTGAAAAATGTCTTCATGATGTCAACCGATCTTCTTGCTTTCTTTTTCACTTTCCCTGAAAAAATACACATAGTACATTTTCACAGTACAGGTATGAAGAAAAGCTTGTTATTCCCATGCTTGTAAGTAGTTGTATTAAAATGAAAACAGCTAAAACAACGCTCAGCAAGGTCTTGCATACAAAAACAGATAGACTTCAATTTCAAAATACGTCATGAACCTCTTGCTTTAATAATCTAAAATACCTTTCTTAAGAGCAGGACAGTTGAGTAAGACTCACCTTCAAGTGCATCTGTATGGTCAGGGGTTGGAGATAGAGTTCTCTTCGTTTTGACAATTTTCAAGGTCTGAACTTTCACGCAGATCTGGAGATGGACTTTTACTTGCTTTTGACTCTATCAGAAACACTGGATTCATGTCGGGCTTCTTTTCAAATATTTCCCCCAACTCATCATCAGAATCAGCAGAGTATACTTCAAAGACACATTACCCAACAAGCAATCTCATAGGTCGGAAGTATTTATTATTAATGCCAAGATTGCTACAGGTAACTGAATATAATTAATAAGGATATCTTTTTTGCATTTGTAGGACTAGAATGCGTCATATGAAATGATACTTCTGTTTATCGATAACGAAAAGTTTAAGAATGGGGCCACGGAATTTGGTATATGCCTCATAGTCATACACGATAGCTTGTCTAGAAAAAAGAATGATCTATGTCTTTAGGAAACCTTTTGTTGCCGATTTGTTTTCTACTATTTCTTTCAAAATTCTAAAGCAAATTGATTTTAATAAGATCCTTAAGAATGGAAACCTTTACTCATTTTCTTTTAATTACTCTAATAAATTTTCTTCACTTACATGAAATTCCTGATAATAAATTGTCATTGATATTCTATCCATTATCAATGCCCTGGTGACCTGCTGCTGGGACGTCATGGCACAGGCGTAGAACCTCATTCCTCAACTCCTCAGGAACGACTAAATGTTAGTCTTCACACCCCCTCCCCACCTCCTTCCAAAGGACCTTGTCCTTATCTAATGTGAAGGCCGTCCTATGCAGCCAATAGTTTTTAATTGCGGGACCTGCAAGGAACATCACACCTTCCTCTTGAACTACACCACCGTCTAACCAGTCAAAAAATTGACTGATTTCCAAGTCCCTTAACTAGCATAGGCTCATTTCCTCTGGTGTCAAACCTACGAATGACAAGGGGCTGCCAGAACCATCATGGGGTACCCCCACTAATGCGACAAAGTTGGGGTGCTTAGTTAGGCGAATCTTAGTCCGGAAGGGCCCATCTATTGACTCATCACCAATGTATATGTAGCAAATGGAGAAAGCGAACAGGAACAGATGATGCAGAACTTTCATCTTTAATAGATATTGTAAAAATTGATATTGTTGTCCAAAACACAAAAGAAGTTTCAGGACTTTCCATAGAAACAACAAAATACAAAACCTCGGCACTTGCTTTAAAGATTGGATATTCTCTCAAGAAGTGTGCTGGAATGATGAAAGGAAATGTCCTTAAAATTGGTGATTCTAATATGGTGGCAAAAAGCCAGCAAGTTCATTGAGCTATATGATCTAACGTGGAATGAAGAAGTGACACCTCATGCCCACAGAACCTTACAGGAGATGAGAAGAAATAGGGTACATCAAATACCATTAACAAATGATGTTATCCTCTTGAACAATTACTTCAACAAGAAGTGTGTGAGCCAATGCTCACTAATACCCCCGCTCTGATGTGAATACACAAGTTCAGTTACGGACAGACAGTGATAATCAGGAAATTGACATCGGATTGTTGTATAAAAATGAATCCCTACATATAGCATGCCTAAACAAAGAGTGTGTTAAAATTTCAAGCATCTGCGATGAGTAGTTGCTGAGAAAACTGCCACCAAAATTTGTTATGTATGGTACGGACAGATGCACGGATAAACAGGAAGTTGACATCGAATTCATACAAAAATGATTCTCACCACATGGCATGCCTAAACAAAGGTTGTGTTAAAATTTCAAGCATCTACGATGAGTAGTTGCTGAGAAAACTGCCACCAAAATTTGATATGTTTGGTACGGACAGACGCACGGATAAACAGGAAGTTGACATCAGATTCGTACAAAAATGAATCCCATCATATGGCATGCCTAAACATAGGGTGTGCTAAAATATCAAGCATTTGCGGTGAGTAGTTGCTGAGAAAACTGCAACCAAAATTTTTTATGTATGCTACGGACAGGCGCACGGATCAACAGGAAGTTGACATCGGATGAGTACAAAAATGAATCCCACCATATGGCATCCTTAAACAGAGTGTGCTAAAATTTCAAGCGTCCGCAATGAGTGGTTGCTGAGAAAAGTGCCACCAAAATTTGTTATGTATGGTACGGACAGACGCACGGATAAACAGGAAGTTGACATTGGAATTGTAAAACAATGAATCCCACCATATGGCATGCCTAAACAAAGAGTGTGCTAAACTTTCAAGCGTCTGCAATGAGTAGTTGCTGAGACACTGCGACCAAAATTTGTTACGGACAGACACACAGACAGACAGACAAGGGTAAAACAGTATACCCCTCTTTCCTTCGGAGGCGGGGGTATAAAAATGAATTTCAGATAGCATACGACAGACTTACAGAAGACAAAATGAAGGAGATGCATGGTCCCTTCTCTGTGAGATCACATTGGCACAAATAATACTATTCAACCGCAGACGACAAGGAGGCGTGTCTAAAATGAAGGCTGTAGACTATCAGACTTTTGCTGAATTTATTACCGACTTTCAATATTGTTTCGCATTCTCTATTTCAATCGCTTACTCTGATTGGTCAATAGCAGAAGTTGACCGTTCACGGTAGCTCAGTCTGTAGAGCGCTTGCTCCATGATCGGGAGGTCGTGAATTCGAATCTCGGCCGCGATTGACTTAAGTCGATAAAAAATGGGTAGCAACTGTTCCTTCGCCATGCGATCAGCACTTTGAAGTTAAAGTTGCGGGTCCTTCGGATGAGACCTTAAAAACTAAGGCCCCGTGTCACGGCAGGCGTTGGCACGATAAAGATCCCTCACTGCTCAATGGGTATGAGTGCCAAGTAAAGGTCAAAATTTGAAGCCCTTCACCGGTAGATGGTGACGTCTCTATATGAGTGAAAAATTCTCGAATGGGACGTAAAACAACATACACTCAATGAGAGAGTCACGTGACGGGGCAGTTGACAGACGTGTCCGATAATCGCTCCGTCTTTTTGACAATTTTTCTGTGGATTTAGATTTCTTTTGTGTATATATTGTTTACAGTGGATTTATGAAGTGTTTTCTTTTCATTAGGAAGTTCTATTAGACAAAAAAAAGTTTATTTTTGTGTTATCATAACTGTGTTTAATACAACCGTGTGCTAGACCTAGAGGTGAGTGAAGCTCACTCAAAGTTTTCATAGTACAATGGCTTTGGAGCAAACAAAAATGTTAAAACCTGTCTACTTGAGACATAGAGATATTCAGACGGATAAGAGTAATCCTATTACAGACTATAATTTAGCGTGTGTGTACAGTACCGACCAGACACAACCTAACAGAAAGCGAACCCTAAGCGCACCCCGGGTTCGCTTTCTGGGTTCGCTTGGGGTTCGCTATAGCTGACCCCGAGCGAACCCGCAGCGAACCCGCAGCGAACCCAGAGCGAACGCCGAAAGCGAACCCCAAATTCAGTAGCGAACCCAGAGAGCGAACGCGCGTTCGGTGTTGCGTAACAGAGCTGTCAATCAGGATTAGCGATAAAACGTGTTTACCAATCAGCGGGTCGACCAATCAGCATGTCAGTTTGTCATTCGAGGTAAATAAAACATTGTACAGCAAAGCGTGTTAATTTTCAGTGTGAAACTATTTTTAACATTATCAAAAATAATTAAATTAATATATTTTAAATATCCAGGTAGCATATTATATTTACACATTTATTTTTTTTCAAGATTATGTCTGTGATATGTGCTTTTATTCAATTATTAAGGTCTTCCGTCTTCAGCGGAAGACCTTCTTGT